CATGTGGTAGTGTGATTTGCTGCCTTCCTCCCCTTCACCTATATCTGGCATCTCTCCCCATGCTATCTCTCCCCAACTCCCCACCCCGCACTGTCCCTCCCCTGTTTCCCTTCAACAGACCCCAGTGTGTGATGCTCCCCTCCCTGTGTCCATGTGTTCTCATTGTTCAACACCTGCCTGTGAGTGAGAACTTGCGGTGTTTGATTTTCTGTTCTTGTGTCAGTTTGCTGAGAATGATGCTTTCCAGGTTCATCCATGTTCCTACAAAGGACACGAACTCATTGTTTTTTATGGCTGCATAGTATTCCATGGTGTACTAAGGGGTGGAAAGATTCACCACTGATGGTTTAATTGCTTCAAAAGGTTGTATTTTCTCTCCTCCTACTTTGCATTTTTAAAGTAATCGTTTATATTTAAGAGGTAAAGCCACCCTTTCCCTGCCAAATATATCTCTGTATTATCTATGAAATATGCACAACATCCACTTTCTTTTTTTTCTGTGAACCAAAAAAAGTTATGAAATCATCATTATGTTGAATAGTAAAATTCTAGAAATTCCTTGCCAATTATATGCTCACAGTACTTTTTTTATGGAGGGTTCTCCCCCAGTAAAAGGGAAGGTCAAAATTTTGAGCATTTTCTTGAAGAAAGCATTTCTATCTTTGGAAGAATAGCAATCCTCTACCACATCTGTATTCCAGAAAATACTTTTGGACTGTTAGTACCTGAGGAATTAAACTTTCCAGCTTCCTATAGTGATTTTTCTATTGCAAATTTCCAAGTTCTGTAGGTCCCTCGTGACATTCACGGTTACGGAATATCTGCCAGGAGTAGGGTAGATGAATGCAATGGTTTGTCAACATCACTTCCCTCTTTTGTTTGTTTTTCTTTTGAGTCAGAATCTCATTCTGTCACCCAGGCTGGAGTGCAGTGGTGTGATCTTGGCTCCCTGCAACCTCCACCTCCTAGTTTCAAGTGATTCTCGTGCCTAAGCCTACTGAGTACCTGGCATTAGAGGTGCCTGCCACCATGCCCAGCTAAGTTTTGTATTATTAGTAGAGATGGTGTTTCACCATATTGGTCAGCCTGGTTTTTAACTCCTGACCTCAGGTGATCTCCCGCCTTGGCCTCCCAAAGTGCTAGGATTACAGGCGTGCACAAGCCCCTGTGCCCAGCCAAGCGCTTCTTTTTCTACTTCTTGTAGAGCCTATGGAATATGTGACATAATATTTGAGTTCCACCATTACACTAACCAAAGTACAACTGGATTTTCAAAGGTAATTTGGGTTTGAAACAGAGGGGACTTATCTCAGATGACCACAGGAGAACTCAAAATAGGAAGAACTCTCCCTGAACTCCAGACTCATATTATTAACAGCTTATTGTATGTCACCAACTGGATATTCCCAGATAATTCAAATTCAGCAAGCCCTAGTCTGATTTCCCCATCTCCCCACATACATCTAATGAGCCTCCTGCATTGTCTCCTCCGTCAGCAGTCAGTACTGCCCACCCGTCCCCCACCGCGGAAACCCAGGAAGCATCCTAGTCTTCCCCCCTCTTTTACTATCCCAAATCTGAGTCTGATCAATTTCATCTTCCTAACTGTTAAGACCCAGGGTATTGTATCCTGGAGCGTATGGGTCAAGAGTCCAGTGGTGTTTCTTTACCATGGACATGTAAGTTCTAGGAGGCAAAAATAAAAAGCTTAATAATAAATGGAGCAGCAGAAACAGGTATTTCAAACACCAAAGAGCTGAGAACATGTTTGCAGGTTGTTACATGCTGGGCACTAGTTAACAATGAAGGAGATGAACCCCGGTGTTCCACTGTTTCATGGGGGATGTAAGCCACAGCTCAGGTGACATAGCAGGTACAGTGAATACTGTGGCTGTCAGCCTCTTCTCTAGGTATTGACAATGGTATAACTTGAGATTGGGCTCTCTCCTTGTGCTCCCAAAGCCAGTGGGCTTGTCCTGATCAGAGCCCTTATTAGAGAGGATTTTAGGTATCCATTTACTTTTCTGTCTCCTCATCTAAACTTGAGCAACTTGAACCCAACAGCTGTGTCTAATATATCTCACATCAGTAAGTCCTGGTACGGTTGGCAACACTGAGTTGTTTAGTGGGTGGATTACTTTCCTGTGGCTGCCGTAAGAAGTGACCAACACTGGGAGCTTCAAGGCAACAGAAATTTATTTTCCCATGATTCTGGACCCCAGTTATCTGAAATCAAGATATTATCAAGGCCCTGCTTCCTCCAAGTGCTATTGGGAAGAACCCTTCCTTACTTCTTCCTGCTCCTGGTGGCTCCTGGCATTCCTTGGCTTGTAGCTGCGTCACTTCAGTCTCCATCTTTGTCTTCATGTGGCCTTTTTTCCTCTGTGTGTGTCTCTGTAATCTCTCCTCTTCTTAAAAGAATGCCAGCCATTGCAGTTATTGGATTAAGGGTCCACCCTAAATCCAGTGCAGTATCATCTTGAGATCTTTAAGAACCTATTTCCAAATAAGGTTACATTCTGAGGTTCCAGATGGACACAAATTTTGCGGGGCACTCTTCAACCCACATACAGCAAATATACAATAAATAGTAACTGCCATGATCCCCCTCATCTAGACAGATTCCTTCATTATATACGCTCATTGAACCGTGATCCTTTCTTTTAATTCACAAGCTTCATGAGGGTAGGGGCAATTGTAGATCTCACTCAACTCATTATTTTATCCCTAGAACTCACTACAGTGCCTCTCACATAGTGGGACACAATAAATAAATCTTGAATGAATAAATGGCTGAATTAATAAGTAAACGAATGAATAATCACTGACATAAATACGCTGCAGTTCTGATCCTGAGCTAGGAGGTTCCAACCAAGGCCTCAGAAGCCCTGGCTGCAGAGCCAGCCTTCACACAAGGTTTGGCTGGCTCTCTCTGGAACCAGTTGAGTTTGTTTAATCATATTATACAGTGTGCATGTTTTACATGATCAATATATGTCACCCTAAGTGAACATGTCACCCAGTCTAACGGCTTCTGCAGGAACAGTTTATTGGGGTTGGCATTCTCCTTTGTAGATGCTTGCTCCAGCAAGGGCAGCAACAATGGGCCCAGGACCCTCAGTGCCCATTACCTCCCTTGTGCTGTTTTTTGCTAAATGAAATGTGACAGGAGAGTCGCTTCCAGTAATTGAAATAATTGACTGTAGAGCCCATGATTATGTCATTAGCTCCTCTCCAGTTAACGTGTTATGATTGTGGCCATATTTCTCCGCTTTGGAGATCATCAAAATTGCATGAAGGGATGACCAAGGTGGTAGGGAACTGCCTTCCCCACTCCTCCCCACTAGATGTAAGTTTTATCATACTAGGGAAGTATTTACAAAGGAAGGGCTATAGTAAGAAGACCTGGGTCCTAGTTCCAGCTTGACCACTTATTACCATGTGGTCACTGATAAAAGTTTTTAACTCTGAGATCTCTGATGGTCAACTCCCAGGGTTGGGGGTTGGGGAGATGAGAATAGTCCTTTCCCTCCCTACCACGTATGGTGATTGAGAACACCCAGGTATGCAATTCTGCACATTACTAACATAATAGAATTCATATTATTAAAATGCTTGTGTTCCACCTGTTCGTAGAGAGGGAAACATAGCCCAGTGTTTACAATGAGCCTACCTGGACATTACTCAGCTGTCAGTTTCTTGAATAATTGTAAGAAACAGAGATGGCTGGGCGTGGTGGCTCACGCCTGTAATCCAGGCACTTTGGGAGACCGAGGCAGGCAGATCACGAGGTCAAGAGATCGAGACCATCCTGGCCTACTTGGTGAAACCCCGTCTCTACTAAAAAAAAAATAGAAAAATTAGCTGGGCGTGGTGGCGCGCATCTGTAGTCCCAGCTACTCAGGAGGCTGAGGCAGGAGAATTGCTTGAACCCGAGAGGCAGAGGCTGCAGTGAGCCAAGATTGCGCCACTACACTCCAGCCTGGCACCTGGTGACAGAGCAAGACTCTGTCTCAAAAAATAAAATAAAATAAACAGAGACAAGAGAATATGGTCAGCGGTTGATAAACTGGACTTCAGAATGTCTTTTATTCAGAGTGGGAGCCTATGCTAGCAATCCTTTCCCTGACGAAGCACTTTTTCTTCTAAAAATGCAGAAAAGATTATCAGTGAAGGGAACATGACAGAAATCAACCAACCAGAGATGGCAAATATACATTCACCACTCATTGCTCTATATCCTCTTCCTGGGGCTCTGGCAAGTATTACAGAAAATAATCGTTCTTTTTCCCATGGAGCTTTGAAATGAGTGGTACAATGAAGAGTGTTTACCAATCCACTTTTGGTGAGGCTGAGGTGAGCTCTGGTTCGTAGCTGGCAGATACCCATGGTGTAAATTTTCTCATCATGGCTGGCATCAAGCTACCAATGTGGCATCGCCAAATGCAGAGTTGGTAAGTGACATGATCAGTCGGCTCTCCTGAGCATATGTGAACTGACTTCCCCACACCATTGAAATCTTTTTCAATACAAAGTTCCAGAGATCCACATCCAACCATTCAGAATTGCCACAGAAAAGTGAAAAGATTTTGCTATCTCTTTGAACCCTCTAATTTTACAGATAAACAGACAGAGTTCCACAGAAGAGAAAGAAAGTGTACAAAAATCACACAGCAAGTCAGGGAGCTAAAACTCTAGTTTCCAGCATGCAGCTTCTTTCCCCTGTGTGACACCTTTCCAGAGGCTGCCTGGGAAGGTAGGATGATTCTACAACCACCTGGCCAACAGTGGTTCAGAGAAGGGCTTAGTACAGTTGCCAGATATCTTAACATCTCTTTATCTATTTAAGCCTAACAACTCCATGACATAGGTACTATTATTATACCTATTTGACAGACAAGAAAATAAAGGCTTAGGGAAGTCACATAGCTTTCCCGAGGTGGGAGGGTAGGTGCTGGAGTTATAAAAATCATACTTCAATCATACTTGCCTTAGGTAGCTTCTGACATGATTCCAATAATTCCCACCACCTGGTATTTGTGGTCTTTCACAACTCAGTCTACTCTTTGAGGGTAGACTGAATCAAGAGACCTGCTTCTAATAGGCAGAATACAGAAAGGCAATGAGTTGTCATTTCTATGATTAGGTTACAAGAGGCTGTGACCTCCATCTTGCTGGAATAGTCATTCCTCAGCATCCACAAGGGATTGGTTTTAGGACCTCCATGGACACCAAAATCCACAGACGCTCTCCTATAAAATGGCCTGGTATATGCATATAACTTATGCACATTCTCTCATACATTTTAATCATCTCTGGAGTACTTATGTATAATACTGAATACAAGGTAAATGCTATGTAAATAGTTGTTATACTGTATTGTTTTTATTTGTATTATGTTTTATTGTTGTATTACTTCTTTTTTTTTTTTTTT